CATTATCTAAAGTAAATAAGTTGGTGCTACAGAAAAAATATTTGAAAGTTAGAGGATTTAAATAAGGAATCTACAAGCAGATCTCAGGTATGGCAATTAGTAGGTAATCTTCAGGCAGAACTTTTAAATAGACAATACTAAAATTGTATGTGTGGCTATTTGTAGCCTTACTCAAATATAAAATATTATACTCTTCTATGTAAAATAGGTGGTAAATCTTAAATATAATAAAAAGTACTAGGATATTGATCTCCCTCTTTAAATATAAAAAAAAAAATTTTAGTATTAAACCTTCTTACACTATCACTCTAACTCTAATACTAATCTAACTAACTATAACTCTAATTCTAAAGTAATAAATAAAATAGATTGTTTTGATTTTATGTTATGCCTAATCTTATGATTATATATAAAGTAGTACTATAGTGCTATAGCACTATAAGAATATTTCTATAAAAAATTATACTAAAAAAATAACTTTTGAAACTATGTTAATTTTGTAAATAAAAATTAAATTTTCTAGTTATCTAGATATTCAGTTTAGTAAATTTTTTTTAATTTTATAAAGCTTATTTAACTTTACAAAACTAAAAAAAAATTATTCAAACTAGATATTGAGATAACTAGTAATTTAATTTTTATTTGCAGAGATACAAATTATTAACTCTTCTTGTAGATTACTTGTACCAAAACTTCTCAAAAATATTTGTTTATAACTAAATATTTTACTAAATAAACTACTCTTGGGCCACTAAGCAAAATTGTTCTATACAAAATTCTGTTTCAATAAAGCCCAATTTTATATCTTTCGAACCCAAACTTGCAAAGATATTTATTTAAATATTTAATATAACACTTTTATTATTATCTATGAATTTTACTAAGACAACAACTCTAGATCACTTAAAGAGTTTTGTCCAGCTTATTCTTAGCTTTATATATATATAAATTTTATAAAAAATAGATAAAAACTTATCAAATTACTAAAGGAAAACTCATTTAAGGTTTTTTCTAAAAATTTTACAAAAATAAAATTCTTTTCTCTTCATCCCCTTATACCTGAAACTAAATCACATAACAAACCAACTAAAATTCATTGGTTTATTCAAAAATAGTACCAATTATTAAAATTTCTTATTTAAATTCATTTTAATTAAACACAAATTAATTATTTACATATTTGTACTAATTCTAAATTAGTATAATATAATAATAAAATCTTATTATTTTTAGCTTGATAATATATATCAGGCTTTGTATCATACTAGCCATACTAGCTACAAGCTATACTAGCTACCTTGTAGATTATACAACTAGCGTTATATTATGCAAACTAAACTATATCTTTCTGTAAAGTTCTCTTTGTCTATACTTCAAATATAATATTATTAAAATATTTAAATCTCTCTACAACAACTTTTAAAACTTATATACTATCACAACATACCTACTTTTATCTAATACAAATCTGACTCCTTTGACTTAGACTACTTCTTATCTAAGTATAGTGATAGATATACTGTAGTCATATATAAACAAAATACTGCATAACTCAAACCTATACCTTTTGCCTTTAACCCTTTCCAATGTATATCTGCTAAACAACTCCATTTCTTCTACATACCATCTTAACCCTCTCTAACCAACTGCCTTTGCAACAAATACCATATCTATTTTAGCTCTAAATATCATACTTTAGAAATCTTCAGATCTAATACTCTTACTCCAAATCCTAATACTTCTATACCTATGGATATTACATTAAAACAATACCAAAAACTTCAAAATCAAATCTTCAGATCACCAATCAAACAAAATACATCTTTATTTCTTCTATTCTTATTCAACTATAATACTAAAATTACTACAACATCTTCTACAAATCTAAACCCTTCCAATCACCAAATTCCTATTATAGCTCACTTATATCATATTCATACATGCCTAGTCTGCTATCTAAAAAATATTTCTTGTGTCTTTCTCTCAAACAAAAAATATTCTCTCTAATCAGAAACTATACTCAAAGACTTTCTAATTTACTCAGAATGTATTTACAATATTCAAATTAAACCTCTTCCTCAAATCAAACCATTAATATAAACTTAACAAAATATCTTTTATTTCATTAAATTTAGCCTTATGTCTTCTGACCAAAAAAGGCTTTATTCAAATCCTTTTTCTACAAACTTATCAAAAAACCTTTAGCCAAAAGAGATACTTCAAATGATCTTAACTAGTTTAAAACCTTCCCCATTACTGAAGAAATAGAACAACATACTCAACTTAATACACAAGTTTTGGTTAAACTTTTTAACTTTCTAAACCCTAACCTCATTAATTTTATTCTAGAAAAAACTTTTAAACAAGTATCTAGAGATACTTCTGCCTCCAAAAACAATTTTAATACCTTATTAAATCAATAGCAGATTAACGTTTTAACTTTTTTACTGACCTTATTTTTAATGCAAATCCAAAAATTGACAAAGCTACTACAATCCTTTTTGATATTATTCTCTCAACTTTCAAATTATTTTTATCTAAATTTACAACAATTCTTTTTATCAAACTCAATTACCAAAAAATTCTATCATTCAATATAATTTCCTTTTATACTATTTAAAACTGCAATTCATTTGCTATTAACTTTGCTAGAATTTATTTCTATCTTCATGACAATTACAAAACAATTTATACTAACAAATTCTTTGAAGATCTCAATATCAAACCCAAAAGATTCTAACTACATTATTTTATTTCTAAAAACAAATCTATTAACCTCTCTTTCAAGTACAAAATGATACCAAATTTAATATTAACATCTCTCTTAATATTTCTAAACAAGAATTTACAAAAACTTTTAGGATTCTTTTGCTCAAAAAACATAAAGAAAATTTTGACAAATAGTTTGAACTATTTTTCAAAATTTACAAATATTAATTTCTAACAATAGACTAAACCAAAACCTACAACTATATAAAATATGAAATTACATACAATCTTGCTAAAGCTTGCAAAAAACTCCTTTCAAAAGACTTCAAAATAACTTCAATTAAATTTCTTTGTAAATATAAAGTTCTATATATCAAAGCTACTCTTTTCCATATTTATACCTGTACTAGCACAGACTGCAATATCTTGCCTACTAATACAGAATATACTTTTAATAATATTTCAACTTCCTTATTTGACCAATTCTTTATTAAATTTCCAGTAACTTTTCTTCTGACTTCTCTAAAAACAGAGTTAGATAGATATATTCTGTACTTAATACTTTACAGTTTCAAAAAAATCAACTAAATAAAGCCTCATTCTAAATCCCTATACTAATAACTCTATTCTGCAAACTAGCAAACTTCAGTGTTGTTATATGACTTATAGTGACCTTTATGACTTACATGACTAGTCATAAATCATATAGTTATACTAAAGAGAATAATTATATGACTGAAGGTCATAATATTAACTAATAAAATTATATAATTAACTAAATATAATAATAATATAAAGTTAAAATTAGTAAATATATAACTATATTAGACTTGATTACTTAAAATTCAACAAATAGAGTTTCAAAATTAAAAAATCTATTTTCAGTAAAATAGATAATATATATATTTTTTAAAATAAAATATTTAGGGAAATTCTATTTTCACATGAGTTAAAGTCACCTGATAGACAATAATAATATTTGCATGACTAAAATTAATAGTATAAGTAGGCTCTAACAAAGCAAATTCCTTGTAAAATTTTGCATATACTAATACCTAGATAAAATTCTAGGCTGCACCCTAACCCTAAAGTAAATAACAATTTATTTAATATTTCAGGTAACTTTAACTAGGTGAAAATAGAAATTTCTAAATATTTATATTTCAATTTAAAATTAAATAGCTTATTTATAATCTAAGTTGCATATAATTACTGTAATGTATATATTCCAATTTGACTATTCATATTACAAGTTCGATTGTTTAAGCTTCTACTTATTTTTGAAATTTGTGAGCTTTGACCTCTCTCTTCAAAAATTTATAGCCTACTAATTAAATATAGTGTTTTAGGTAAATTTGATTATATGATAAAGTTATTTGAAATTTGCAATTTACACAATTGAGTGTTACTATACGTAGTAATACTAATATTTTTTATAGCTATATAATTAATAATACTATATTGATCTTATTGAAAAATTAACTAGCAAACCTAATACTAATGCTAATTTTTGATTAAAGTAAATTAACTTTTTTAAAATTTGCATAAATGCTATACAATATAAAATTGCATATTGAAAAAATTGAGACTAGTTCTAGATAGATTCTTCCAAGGGCTACATTAGCTAGAGTTTGGTCTTATGATACTAAAATATCTAATATTTTATTCAATATTCAATTATAACCTAATTACAAGCTTTAATCAAGATGTAGGAAAATTTGATTCAAGTTTAGGATTAAGTGGGCTCTGATAAGTACTTTGGAGTAAGTATTATATAATTCTTTGCCTTTACTAATCTCATACTTATTTACTCTGTAGATTGATCTTTTCTTAAGTTATATTTGGTAAGTAATACTAGTAATTTTTAATCACTAGTACTAGTCTATCACAAACTTAGATATATCAAGAAATTCAATTGACAAAATATACGTAGCACTTTTTTTCTCTTTCAATAAGTTTCTCTTTTATCACAGAGATATAAAAAAAATAAGTTTGAATATACTCAATAACGAAAGAGAATTAGAAACTCAATACTTTTATTCAATACAACTTATGTTGTTTATATACTTTTATTTACATATAGAAAATAAGATAAAAAAAGAAATTATTGAATATTTGTTATATCAATTCTATAACTAGAATACTATACTAATATACTATTCTATTTTTTAGATTGATATTATACTATTTCTAAAATCATTAAAAAAAATAAGAAAAAATCGTTATATCACTATGTCAGACCATAGTACCTCTGAAGTAGGGTAAAGTTGCCTTTTACAATATAATTCAGATTACATAATATTGATATATGTTGGTGATTCTAAATTATCACTAAAAAGAAATGACAATTTCCATTTCGCACTTTGATCATCAGCTAGATGAACATCTTGTGTTCCTACTAAAAAATCATCAACTAAATCCCCATTAAGTAAGAATTCATCACTGCTATTTTTAACTTGATTTTCATAATTGACTTCTTCAATCCAT